TTCTTATGTTACGTGGACTCATCACAACAACCCAGCAAAGTAACCCGACACGTTTGCTCTGCCTTTTGTTTCTTGGTCACGTATACAGTTGAGTGCCTACTTACCTACAAAAGCAGTGCCGGGCATGTGAACAGTAACAGACTTGTGGTCAACACTAACAGACCTTTGTTCTGTTAGTAGGGACCTCAGCCAGACATTTACCATGGGAGTGTGGGAAGTGCTGTGGTAAGGGAAGCGGAGAAGTACAAGGTGCCACAGGAGCACAAAAGCAGCTCAGCTAACTCGCCAGGAACCGTCCAAGTTGGGGCAGGCAGCAAGCAAGGGAAGACTCTCCTGAAGAAATAATACCTAAGTGCGGCAGTCTTTGGGTCTGCTCACTAGTGTTCTGCTTCTTATTCCTTCCAGTAGGAAAGCATTTTTCCTGTATCTCTAAAGTCTGGTGCGGCTCCACAACTGCTCTGGTCAATGAAACATGAGCAGAAATGACGCACCTCAGGGCAGAAGCTTTAAGAGCCAGTGTGTGCTCCACCATATTTGTGTCTGTTGGCTGCAATACAAGTGGAGACGGAGCTTCCATCAGCTTGGGTCCCAGAGTGACTATGATAAACAGCACCCACCAGGCAGCATGAGCAAGAAACAGATTTCTGTGATAAGCCATGGAGATTTGGAGATTGTCTGTTACTACAGCATAGCCCGTCCTGTCCTAATACACAACTAGGTTCTGAAGAATGAGTGCCGGTTGTCCGTGCTGACGTGGCAAGGGATGGATTTCCAGGAGGAAGAAAAGAGCACATACAAAGGCTTTCAGCTGCAGAGACCAGGTTTCATTTGAGGGATTACTGGACACAGACAAGAGAGTGACAAGAGGCTGGAAACCCATACCATGGAGGGTCTTGCAAGATCATGAGCACCACTTTACAGATGAAGAGAATGAGGCCCAAGAAGTTTGGGCCAAACCCAGGCTGACCTGTCTCAAAAGCCAATAGTCTCAATATGACAAAATTCCTCTGCCCCCCTGGGTCCCGAAATGGACATCACTGGCCTACGGTTCCTGACCCTCCCATCAGTGTGGTTCTTGCTTGGTAAGGACGATCCCAAGTTCTGGGTCTATGTTCCATGTGAAACACTGACAAGCAGGTGTTAAAGATTTAGTGGCATCTACCTGCTATTTTTTTTTTTTTCCCTGACAGGATGAGGGAAAAAAAAATTAAAGAATTTTGAGAAAAGATGAGCTCTGAAGACAAAGCGGACAGATGCATTATAAATCAATTCTTCTGGATTCAGCTATTTGAAGGTATTCTCAAAGTAGAAATGATCCTGATTACTGCCATTATTAAGCCCATCTATGCCAGGTGAGTACTTTAAGTACATTACCTCAAAGACCCTCGCAACAATTCTTCCAGCTAGACTCCCCCCATCTTCCAATGAGGAAATTGAGGCGCACAGGTGTGGAGTGACTTACCCATGAGCCTGAGTGACGGGACTGGGATTCAAATCCAGATCTCTCTGCCCTGTGTGCTTTCCACTACTCCGTGCTGCCTACCCCTTGTAATCTATTTCAGATAAATTATGCATTGCTGCCATCACTTCTGCTTCCAGGCAGAAAGCTTTTCAAAGTCAGTAATACGAATCTTGGGACTGAGAAGGACAAAACCACCATGTCAGGAGTTTAGGGATTTGGATCAGATCTTGTTACTTTTATGGTTTTTAATTCATTGAACAAAAATCATGCTGACATGTTTAGGTCTCTTTTTTGTTCTGCCAAAGCATATGTCAGTATAAGGAAGGAAAAGGAAAATTAAAACTTGATCCAGTGATTCAAAAAACTTAATCCCGCTGAAATACTAGGAGGGGCAGAAAATAAATGAATCTGAGTCTGTAAGAAACCTCTTAAACTTCTCTGAGCAGAGGTATTTCAATCTTCTATTTCATATATAATTTGAAATAAGTATCCCACTGCTTAGGCAATCTTTAATAAAAAATTTTTTATCTAACCAACTTCTTTTCACCACATTGTTACATTTACATTTTACGTGAAGAAAAAAACCATATGTATTCTTAAAAAATATAAATTGGGACTCAAAGATTTCTTAGGAGTAAAAGGCTATATAAAGAAAACAAAATTGTAGTAAGTGTAATTTGGCCTTAATACAAACATATTATTTTGTATTAATGTAAATGTGACCACAGTAGACTGTTAACAGCAGACAGTTTCCATACATAATAGTACCCAATTACTGACAATGACAAAAATGTTTCAGTTTCAGGATGCAAGCACAGAGGCAATAATCTAAAGAAATGGAGAGGGGGTGCTGTGAGAGGGTTAAGAAGTGGGGGTGGAGGCGGGCACAGGGAGGGTGGAGAGGAAGAAGGGAATATGCATGCTGGTTCGGGGTGTTGGCTCGAAAGGTATCTCAAATACAAGTTCAGAAGCAGCTGGGGTGATGGAAACCCACTGGTTTTGAAGTCAGCCAGATGTGTTTCATTCCCATGCCTATCACTCTGAAGCTAAGTATCCTTGGGCAAGCTACTTAATCTCTCAGAGCCTCAGATTCCTCACCTGTAAAATGAAGATAATAAAAACACCTTACAGGGTGATGGGAAGAACCAGACATAATACATATATAAAGTACCAATAGACAGCAGCACATAGTAGCTTTGAATAAATGATAGCGTTTATGAATGTTTTAATCAAATACACTTAATTACTTCCTCATGAAACAACGAGGGCACATCTGTTTTAGAAAAGAAACATACCATATTATGGAAATATTTTAACTCCTTTCCAAACCAGTGATTAATACATCTGATCATCTCCATCTCGCATTCAGGGGGTTCTCCCGGCACACGCTGGTTTGTCCTCCAGGCTTCTGCACTCAGCCGGTTGGTTCTGAGCACCCGCTCTGCACTTGGCGTGCATTCATTCATCAAGCACTGGCTGAGGCCCCTGAGTCCTGTGCCAGATCCCGGGCCAGGCCGAGGAGCTCCAGAGAGAAGGCAGGCCTGGTCCAACTTCCCCAGAGGCTCAGTCCAGTGGCGGAGACAAACTCGTCAGCCACTACTTAGGGCGTGAGTGGCACTAGGACAGAGGGGTGGACCTTCCGCAGGAGCACCAGGCAAAAAAGTACAACTCTGCCTCGAGACTTGGAAAATGCCTTAGAAGCATTTCGGGCCACTGCATTTCAGGCAGAAGCATGGTGGGAGTCTAATGGCAGGAAGGCAGGAGGCTGCAGAGGTCAAATCTGTCCTGCAGGCCTAGAGTTTTCACATTCCTCTTTAGCCACAAAATCCTGGCTTCAGAGAAAACCAAGGCAGAGGCTCCACTTATAAATTTATAAAACAGATAACAAGAGAGCTATTCCAGTTAATGAGGGGAAGGGCCGTCGGGGAGGGGTGGCGCTCTGTGCCAGGCCCAGGACTGAGTCCGCCCTGCCTCCCCTCCACTTTGGGCCTGACACTAACTGGCGGAGGGACCTCATGCAAGTTATTTAAACTCTCTGGACCTTGATCTTCTCATTTGGAAACAGAAATTAAAATCAAGCAAACAAAAAACCCAAGCATCTACCTTTCAGGGTTCTTGTGAGGATTCTATGAGAGAATACGTGGAAAGCACACAGTACAAAGCCTGGTAGAGAATAAACACTCAGAGAATGTCAGCTGCCTTTGCTGCTGTGGTTTATGTGTTGGCATTCACTGAGGCATCTTCGAATAATGATGCGTTTGTTCTTGGAAGTTTTTATCAACGGAGAAATGACAGGGCAAACAATCTATGCTTCGGCAAGATGGCTTTTTGAGATTCTATTAGTAATTTAACGTCTCACATACATTTTAAAATCCACATGCTCCCAGCATGTAGCCCTGAACTTTTCTCTTTTCAGTACTAATTCATTTAGTTTATGGTTTCATTCTACAGCTATTTACTGGGCACGTATTGTGTGCCAGCCCCAATGCCAGCCCCGAGGGATACAGCATTAAACACACGAGTTTACCGTCTGGCAAGGAAGGCAGTCATTACACACACATACACGCACAATTAATCAATATGTTACAGTTGTAATAAGCACAATAAAGACATGTAGAGTTCTATGAAAATAATTAGTGGGGGAAGGGAGTCTGACCGAGGTCTCTTGTGGGATTCCAGGAGCAAAATGTGGGGACATTCAAGAGGAGTGACATTTAAATTACGAGGTGCAAGAGTGGAGGGGTTGGGGGAGATCATTCCCACCAGAGGGAATGGTCGGTGTAAAGTTAAGGCAGCTTTCCAGGTAGGAAGGTGGGTACTGCTCTCTGAGGGGCTGAAAACGGCCGTGAGGCTGAGAACAGAAAGAAGAGAAGACTGTTCCAAAGGAGGCTGGCGAGCCTGGCAAGCCCAAGGGTATGCATGCAGGCCCTTCAATGTCACATGGAAGCCCGGTAGGTCCACCAACAGGTAAAGAGACATACAAATGGTACATGCACACGGTGCAATTGCATTCAGCCTCAAAAAGGAAATTCTGACACATGGGATAGCGTGCATAAACCCTGAAAACATTACCCTGAGTGAGATAACCCAGACTCAGAAGGACAAATACTGTATGATTCCACTTAATACGAGGTATCGAGATTGTCAAATTTATAGAAACACAAAGGAGAAGAGCCGTTACCGGGGGCTAACCGGGGGATCGGGAAATGGGAAGTTACCGTCTAATGGGTATAGACTTTTAGTTTTGCCAAACGATAAAGAGTTCTGGAGACTGTACAACAATGTAAATGTACTTAATACCACTGAACTATACATTTTTAAATAATGGTAAATTAAAAATAATTTTTTTAATGTTTATTTTTGAGATAGAGAGAGAGAGAAACAGAGAGATAGAGTGTGAGAGGGGGAGGGGCAGAGGGAGGGAGACACAGAATCTGAAGTAGGCTCCAGGCTCCGAGCTGTCAGCACAGAGCCTGACGCGGGGCTCAAACTCACGAACGGTGAGATCACAGCCTGAGCCGAAGTTGGACACTTGACTACTGAGCTACCCAGGCGCCCCAGTAATGGTAAATTTGGATGTATATCTTACCACAATAAAAAAGTCTAAAAGAGTCCTAGCAGATTATTCTAAGAACAATGTGGAGTTCCAGGAGCCTGAGTGAGGCCCAGGAAACGTGACCAGATTTGTATTTTGAGTAGATAGTGATGTACAAACAAGATCTAAGCACATGGCAGAAGTCTACCCAGGAGTCTGTAGGCAGGCAGATGGAAAGCGGTGGACCCACCCTGGAACAGCTTCTTGGCTGGATGATGAAGACAGCAGCCTTTTCCGCTAGGGTCAGAGAGCCTCCCCACATAAGGCAGGGGTTTTGGCTGAGCTGGCAGGGTCACACTTTGTTTGTACATACTCCACCAGGCAGGTCTTCCAGTAACATCCTGGATGGGGGCCTTCCTGCAAAATTCCTTGAGCATGAACAATAAGCACAGGGCATGCCCTGATGGTAACTCACACAGCAGAGAATCACCCGGATTGAAATGATACTTCCTATTGTTTCAGCGAGAACTGGACACATGTACAAAGCTATCCACCAGGTGTGTATTAGAGGAAGCTGTGCTCAGCGTGGGCAGTTACAGTAAAACCCAGTTATGATATGTCAGACACTAGACTTCACAAGGATCGCTGGTTACTCACAGGGGTCTTTAAAAGGTGGGGAAAACATGCTTTAAAGCCAAGAAGACCTCGAATTGGAATCCTCACTCTGCTGCTAGTCAGCCTCAGAACTGTCAGCATGCTGTTCAACATCTCCAAACTGGCTCTCCGCGTGTGAAGCGGGAGGAAGAATGTTACTACGGGGGCAGAAGCAAGGATTAAATGAAATGGTGGTGGCAAGGGCCTGGCGCACGGCCAGCGGGTGCACCATAGGCACTCACTGCGGGGTGGCTGCATTCTTACTCTTACCACAGGCTCTCCAGGGCTTGGGGATACTAACAGGACATGAATCGTGAGGGAGAAAACCGTCAAAAGGATTTAGCAGCTTAAGCGGAGAGGGAAAGAATGGGAACAGAGGAGAGCAGGCGGTGGGAGGTGTGAGTTGGGGTCCAGCAGCTGTGGGGGTCGGGCTGAGGGGGAAGGAAGCTGCACATCCAAGGAACAGCCCATCAAAACACATGTCTGACAGCTCCACTGAGAGAAACCTCACCACCGCCTCACCGGCTTCTGGGAGCCCCCTCCCCCCCAGTAGGGGCATCAGCCCGCAATCAGCTGCGGACACACGCCCGACTTTATTGTTTGCCGGTGGGCGCTGCCCGATGCCTTGGGGCCACTGGCCCTGAAGGAAATGTTTTTGTTTGTGTAGCCCAGCCAGACTTCCTATGCTTCTAGGTATACAACTTCCCCATCCCCTCTTGCCTCACCCCCGCCACTGCCAGCTCACCAGCCTGTTTCACATACACTGATGTCTCCTAAGGACATCAGGTGTCCTTTTAGCCCAAAGAAAATCGTACGCGCACTTTGGAGGGACTTCTACCACCAGCGGTAACTTCAGTTCTCTCTGGGGACACAACTGGCCACCTGCTTTCTGACGACCGTCCCGTGCCTCTTAAAGGCCTGGCTGACCCAGACATACTGTGCTGAAATACAGCCCAGCAGGATGGAAAGAGAAAGGAGGTGAGGTCGGGGGCCACATCTCCACATTCTCAGCACAGTGACCGTGATTAAGTCCGCTGACTTCTTCTTGTCACCCCAGCAGGATGGAAACCCAAGTTTCATGCAGGTAGAGAAAGAACACGGGTCTGGTGGTAAAGGCAGACTTGATTTCCAATCCCAGCCCCGCCACTTACAAGCTGGGTAGCTGTGTACATGTAACTTGTCCTCTCTGAATTGAGAAGATGCCCAGTGGGCACACAGGAGAGCAGTCCCTAAAGCCCGACTGCTGGGGTTTGAGGCTCAGATCCATCACATCTTAGCTGCACGGCCCTGGGCAAGTCATTCTACCTCTTTGCCTCAGTTTTCCCATCTGTCAAATGCGTGTAATACCATTAACTTAATGAGATTGTTGTGAGGATTAGAAGAGCTCATAAACATGCTGGTACACGGCGATGTGCTCAATAAACACTATCTGTTCTTATTTCCTCAACTGTCAAATGAAGGGGGAGTAATAAAAATGTTACCTTTCTTCCACAGTGAGTGTTAGGAGCAAATGAGAGAGGATGGTTAAAGAATGCTGACTGTGTAGGTATTAACTACTTAAAAGCTATTGATAATATCAGTGATAAAAATAATGGTGATGTCTCCTACTGAGCGAGTGCACAGCACAGGGGGTCAAGCCCTGGCTCAGAGAAAGACTGCCTGCTTTTCCACTTACTGTGTAACACTGGGCCCAAAGAGCTCCATTCCCCTATGACTCAGGTTCTTCATCTGTAAAAGAGGCATAATAATATACCTACCTCAAAAGACTGTTAGGAATATATTAGCTGATACGAGTAGCATCTGGAATAGCAGTGGGCATACAGCAAGTGCTCATATTCATTTAATCCCATTATTCCATAAACACTGATGGCATTTTTGCATACTTACTACGCACTAAGCCCTGTTTCGGGGCTAGGGATACAGCTGATAGAGCTCTTCCTGTCCACATTCTAGTGAAGGAGAGAGAGAAATAATAAATCCATAAAATGAAACAGAAGAGCTATAATGAAAATAAAGCACGATAGTGAGATAAGGAAGAACCTTATTATTATCACACTTGCATTCGCCTAGACATGACTCGGATGGTAGCTGCTCCCCTCCAGTAAAAATAATGATAACTAACATTTGCAGAGCTCTTTCCCTGTGCCAGCCTCTGAGCTGATACACTCTTCATGCATTAGCTCCATAAATCCTCACAACGCTCTTATGACACACTGGCACTACTACCTGGATTTCACAGATAAGAAAAGGGAGGCTCAGCCAGATCAAGTAACCTGCCCAAGGCCACTCAGCAAGTTGCTGGTAGACCTGGGATCCGAGCCCAGTGCAGATGGCCCTTGCATTCTTTGTTGGTGCCAGACAAATCGAAGCAGCTATTCTTACTGGTGGGAGTGATCGGAACAGCACTGCTGTTACGTTAAGGCCTGCTTAGATATACAGTTCATTACTATTGCTCCAGCTCCCCTATAAGTCCAAGTGCAGCGGGAAGAAAGGAGAAAGGGAATCCAGAGAGGACTGCAATGGAAAAGTGATCGGACCTCAGCAGTCAATTGCCATGTTCTATAACAGGGGCAGGACACGAAGGGGAGAGGACAGAGGAGGGGCAGGGAGAAGAGGAGCCTGTCCTTTGGGGTGCAGCTTTTACACAGGTGTTGGTGGCACTTTCTCCTCAGTCCATGCTCCACTCAATTCCGGATTGCACTTTCTTATGTGTTTCAACCAGAACTTACGTGCGGGGAGCGAGGCCCGTTTCACACACGTGGATCCCGAAATAGCAGGAGGCGAGCCTAACAAGCTGCAGGCCGGGTAGGAAGCAACACCACAGAGGAGAAGGCGGGCACCCTAACACCGCACGGAGGCCCCTGCAGGACTGGAAGGCACAGAGAAACAATGTGCCGGATGGAACTCATCCAGCACAATGAGTGGCCCTGAGAAAGCAGCGATGGCAGGCAGGCGGTGGGAAGAAAGGGGAAGGAAAAGCAGCTGTAGTTGCTCAAACGCAGTCTGTGGCCGCCCCAGCCCAAATGAGGTCATCAGGCATTCTTCTCTCACCTTTTTTTCCCTTTCAAGACTGCTAAAGGTCCGTACGTGTGTGGGTTGTGTAAGAAAAGGGTATTTCCTGGAATGTACCCATCATACACACTTCTCTGGTACAAGAGCCACTAGGCGATACGGCAGCTAGACAAGGAGGCCACAGAGCAGGAAGACAGGTTCCACGCTGGCAGCCTGACAAGCAAGACGACAGTGTGGCGAGAACATGGGCTTTGGAAGCAGACAGATTCGATCTGAATAATGACTCCTCCACTTACTAATCTGTGACCCCGAACGAATTAAACTTTCTGATGCCCCAGGATTACATCTGTATCACACCCATCTCAAAAGGGTATATCTCTGCAACAGTGAGATCACCGTGAAAAAAGCAAATACTCAATTTCATTTATGTTAACTTAAATACGTGTGTGTGTGTGTGTGTGTGTGTGTGTGTGTGTGTGTGTAGGTGGGTATACACCTCTTTTATAATTTGGAAGGATATACATTAAACTTACCAATAGTTACTTTATGGAAGAACATTTGGGGGACCACAAGAGAACGTTTTATTTTTCTGTAGGATTTGAGTTTTTACAATAAATGGGTACCATTTTTGTGATTAAGAGAGATGAGGGGTGCCTGGGTGGCTCAGTCGGTTTAACATCCAACTCTTGATATCAGCTCAAGCCATGATGCCAGGATCGTGGGATTGAGCCCCACATTGGGCTCCACGCTGAGTATAGAGCCTGCTTATGACTCTCTCTCTCTCCCTCTCACCCTTTCCCCCACTCACGCTCACTCTCTTTCTAAAAAAAAAAAAGAAACAAAGGGAAATGAAAATCATACACCTAAAAGTCTAGTATCCAAAATATATAAAGAACTCTTACAACCCAATAAAAGGACAAGCCACTCAACTTAAAGACAGGTAGAGAATTTCAGCAGACATTTTTCTAAAGATACAGAAGTGCCAAACAAGCACATGAAAAGACACTCAACACCAGCAGTTATTACGGAAATGCAAATCAAAACTACAATGATACCACTTCATACCCATCGGGATGGTGGTAATAATAATAAAAATGAACTAAAACAACAAGTGTTGGCAAGGAGATGGAGAAACCGGAGCCCTCACACATTACTGGTGGGAATGTAACATGTGCAGCCCCTGTGGAGAAGTTTGGCAGATCCTCAAAAAGTTAAACAGAGCTGTCATATGACCCAGCAACTCCACTCTTACGTATACACTCAAGAGAACTGAAAGTATGTTTATACAAAAGTTTGTGCAATGATGCTCACGGCAGCACATTATTCATAACAGCTCAAAAGTTCATCAACTTACGAATGGATAAATAAAATGTCCATACAATGGAATATTATTTGGCACTAAAAAGAATGAAGTACTTATACATGCTAGAACATGGATGAACCCTGAAAACATTATGCTAAGTGAAAAGAGCCAGTCACCAAACACCACATAATGTGTAATTCCATTTTTTTATGAAATGCTCAGAACAGGGAAATCTATAGACAGAAAGCAGATTAATGGTTGCCTACAGCAATCCCAAGTGGGGCGAGGGGATTGGGTAAAGCTGGGAGTGACTGCTAGCGGGTACAAAGTCTCTTTTTAATGTAAAATGTCCTAAAATTGATTGTGGTGAATGTTGTACAACTCTTTGAATATACCAAAAACCACTGAATTGTACACTTTAAATGGGTGAATTACATCTCAATAAAGCAGTTATGCAAGGTCATGTGCCTACTTGGTTCTTGTCACTGAACAGGGCTTGTCTCCTGGATGGAAAACGTAATGACGGTGGCACATGTTTCTTCACCTGGGGAATGGCAGTGATAATAGGGCTCCCCGTAACAGGTAACACAGAAGGTTCCTTAACAGCAGCTACCTTGATAGCGACAACTTAAAAACTAACATTCACCCTCGCTGACTTTCTTTCCTCTCTTCACGGGTGTCAGGCCTGCATCCATGGTCCAAAGGCTCTCCCCTCTAGTGCTGCTCCCCCTCCCCTTTATCCATCTCAGCCTCCTCTTCTCTTCTTTCAATAAATCTTCATAAAAGTAAATACGGCTCTTATCCTATTCTACAGATGAGGACACTGAGACTCAGGGAACTGAAATAACTAGCGTAAGCTCACAGAACTCTTTTTTTTTTTTTTTTCAACGTTTATTTATTTTTGGGACAGAGAGAGACAGAGCATGAATGGGGGAGGGGCAGAGAGAGAGGGAGACACAGAATCGGAAACAGGCTCCAGGCTCTGAGCCATCAGCCCAGAGCCTGACGCGGGGCTCGAACTCACAGACCGCGAGATCGTGACCTGGTTGAAGTCGGACGCTTAACCGACTGCGCCACCCAGGCGCCCCGACACAGAACTCTTTTTATTGGTTTTCTTTTCACAGTTCTTCTGACTATAAGCTTGGTTCCCCCAGCTTTCAATGCTGGCTCTCCCAGGCTGCACTACAGCTCCCCGCCCGTGGTTAACTCCGCCTGGGGACCACCCTGCTTTACCTGGCTTGCTTTCCCTGGAAAAACCTGGCCATGGTTCATGAGAAACCATATGTCAGGATATGGTGGGGGAAAACTACTTGGGAAAGGAAATTCAGGCTAGGAGAACTGTAACTCAGGGCTTTTTACTGGTATCTGGTAAAATAGCCAGGTCTGATCCTGAGTAGACTTCTCCTCCGTGCTGTCACCTCAGAACAAATCTGGGGGAAGGGGCCTAGCCTGGGCATAAGGTCTATCACCCCTGATGATGCCCGAAGGAAAAGCGGAAGCCAACAATGGCAACTGTCTGGCTGTTGGGAGGCCCTGTGGAGCAGCTCAGTGGGCTGAGGGTGACAAGAGCCAAGGTCCCTCTGCTCACCAGAAACACAAAGCATATCCCACACCATAGGCAGGACTGGTCATCAGACTTTCTTATTTGGGATAGACGTCCTAGGAGGTTGTATTCGCCACAATTCACATTCAAAGAACAAACTGAATGCTCGTTAACAATCAAACTACAGTGTTCCCGAGTAACTGAAATTCCAAGATAATTACAACATAATGACTCCACTCCTCCCATCCCTAAAAACGGAGGATAGAAAAAAATGAAGATGGCATTGGGGGTAGAAGTTGGTGAGGAAGAGGGTGAGAGTTAAGGACTAAAAGAGCAGTCAGTAAACAGAAGTCAAAAAAATGAACATGGCATTGGGGGTAGAAGTTGGTGAGGAAGAGGGTGAGAGTTAAGGACTAAAAGAGCAGTCAGTAAACAGAAGTCAAGTATCACTGGTTTTACCTCCAAATAATCAGAAAAAGACGGCTTCCAAGAACTCTTAACCAAGAGAATTAAAGTCAAATAGTGTAAGATACAGCAATTAAAACTGATTAAGTACCTATGACATGCCAAGCCCCACACTAAGAGCAACCCATATAATATCCCATTACTCCTCACAACCATAAAAAACATTCCCATTTTACAGATAAGGAGGCTGAAGCTTCCAACAATTGAGCAATGGGCACATTCTCCAGACTGCTGCTAGGCAATGACCACGTGACAGAGGGACTCCTTTAATAGGCAACCTGCTCAGGAATGCCCCTTCAGCCTAGGTGACTTTCTCAGGGGTGCTGTGTGAGTCTTCTCCCACCCAATCCCCCTCTCTCCCTTTCTTCACTGGCGGTAGACCTGTGCTCAGTCTCTCTCGCAGGCATTTCCTCCCATAAACCTCTTGCACATCTGATTCTGTCCTGGCATCCATCTGCTTCTCAGAGGACCCAAGCTGACAAAGCTAGAGTGACGCAACAGGGATTTGAACCCCAAAGCCCTTGTGCTTTCCTTTCTACGAAGACATTAAGTGATGGATAAATCAGGTCGTTAAATGCAGTGAATATTCTCAGACCTTCTCTCCCTGGACTTACCAGCCATGTTCAGCATAGCCGATGACTCCCTCCTCTTTAAAATACTTTGCTCTGTTGGGGCGCCTGGGGGGCTCGGTTGGTTAAGCATCTGACTTCAGCTCAGGTCATGATCTCTTGGTTCACGAGTTCTAGTCCCACGTCGGGCTCTGTGCTCACAGCTCAGAGCCTGGAGCCTGCTTCAGATTCTGCATCTCCCTCTCTCTCTGCCCCTCCCCAGTTCACACTCTGTCTCTCTCTCTATGTCTCAAAAATAAGTAAGCATTAAAAAAAAAATTTTTTTTTAAACACTTTGCTTGGTTTCCTGGACTCCACACCCTCCTGGTTTTCTGGCCACTTAGTCTCAGTCTCCTTTGCTGGTTTCTCCTCACTGCCTTGACCCATAAATCTTGAAAGTCAAGCATCAAGGCCATAGCCACCAAACCCCTTCTCTTCATGATCTACGTTCCTGTCTAAAATAATCCCACCTCAGGGCACCTGGGTAGCTCAGTCAGTTAAGTGTCCAAATCTTGATTTCAGCTCAGGTCATAATGTCACGGTTCGTGGATCGAGCTCCGCATCAGGCTCTGATAGCACAGAGCCTGCTTGGGATTCTCTCTTTCTCTCTCTCTCTCTCTTTCTCTCTGTGCCCCTCCCGTGCTTGGGTGTACTCTCTGTCTTTCTCAAAATAAATAAATAAACCTAAAAAAAAAAAAAGTCACCTAATTTCACGGCCTCCTCTACAGGGTCATACTTCCCAGATTTCTCTCCCTGGTCCACACCTCCCCACGCAGGTATCTAATAGTATCCCAAGATAAACACAGACAAAACCTGCTCTTCGCCCGCGCCCAATTTGCCTTCCCACAGTCTGCCCTGTCAGTGAGGAGTAATCCCATCCTTCCAGGTACTCAGGCCAAAACTCTTGGAGGCATATTTATATTTAGTCCTTTCTTTCTAAATCCACAACTAATCTGTTAGCAAATCCTGGCAGCTTTTTCTTTACAATGTAATCCAGAGGCAGACCACTTCTTACCAAGTCCACATTACTAAGCTAGTCCAGGCCATCATCATGCCTGGATTACTGCGATAGCCCCTAAATGAACCCTGCCTTCACCCTTGCCTTCCTACAGCAGAATTCTCAAAACAGCCACCATTACGATCCTTTGAAAACCTAATTCAGATCATGTCACTCCTAGCTCAAAACCCTCCATTGACTGACTTCCTGTTCCCTTCCAAGCAAAAGCTAAAATCCTTGAAATGATCTATAAAACTACAATGGTTAATTTTATGTGTCAATTTAACTAGGCCACAG